ATATATAATATAAATTAAATAAATAAAAATAGCTTGCATATGATTCTTTATTATTGTAAAAATATTGCGATTTATTATATGTTAAGTCGTCCAAAAAGTATAGTTTTTAAGAATCAAGGAGATCATTATATAGCATAAAATTTGCATATATACATGGTTAGTTACATAAAGTGTTTTAATACCTTATTTTACGCACATTATACTGAAGAGAAAACAAATCGATTGGTTTTCGCAAATTCAATAGTCATAACCATTAATAACGACATTTGTCTTTATGTCTTGTTTTATGATAAGCTATTATCCTTCAAGACTTTTTCTCAGGAATCACCCAGACATTTGGCACAGATGACTAATCGAATGCTTAACCTGATACCATTGATTTAATATTTGCATTTGTTTCCAATAGTTAAAATTTTTGTAGCTTTTCATAAATGTTTCTTTTTTAATGCAAGCCTAAATAATGATTTTGTAATTTTATTAGAGACTAGTGGTATTAGATATTTTAAATCGTGTTTCCAATCATTTTTGATTGCATAAACAAAGTATCTGTTGTGAATTAATTTTTGCATGTAATCATTCACGCGGGTCGTCGATGATCTTAATCATCGGGTGCGGTCGCTGTTTAACGACCACGTAGACGGGTTACCGTAAACAGTGCATAAACGGTGAGAAATCACGGTAGGTGGAAATGCATTCCTCGCAACCGGTTGCCTGCGATTTCCACGAAATCCACAACGATATTCCACTGGATTATTTTATCTGGCGCCAATCGCGTAATTAATGTTAAAATCTTGATAGGATCTTGATGGGAACGTTAATAAAAAGAATCTCGCGCTAGTCACGTCCTGATCATATAACGTTCAATTTACATTGCACAATATACATAGTTGCACATGCGCTACAATATCAATCTTGCAATAATAAAGCAATTACTGTCAACTTTTTTCTTATTTTACTTTCCATCGCGAAAAAGAAATATTTATACATTTTATAATACCGCGATTTTAGAAGATAACTAGAAACGTCAAAGCATCTTAGCAAATCCGTATAATCATATAATGATAAAAAATATTATACTAATATAAGCATTAAAAAGATATAAAATATATTGATTATATAAAGATTATATAATAATCTTATTTAGTACACAAATATATACGCACGCGCTTAAAATGTATAGTACAAAATTTAACGTAAAACTAAACAGAAATAGTTTAGCTGTCTTAATTTATCTTATAATCAGTAGCCACAAATTTTTATGATATTTCTCTTACCAAGATAGTTCTGCGTGTGACGAAGTTCGGTCACGTTCAATGCCAAGGCGCCACGTGGGACCACCGCCACCAAATTGTAACCCGGTTCCAAAGTCGGTTCCGTGAAAATTCCATCTATCAGATGACCGTTGCCAAATCTTACGCCACCCTAAAACAATCGGTGGTAGCACGCGTTATGACGATAGAGAAATTCACACAAAGGATAATAAATCATGTGACTTTGCAGGACTGAGCTTCAACTGGAGTTTTAGCATTCAAGATCAAAGTCTGACCAGTTTGTTGATCGTGGGCGACGAATGACGTTTCTGGTCGCACTTCTATTTTTCCAGATGTCAAAGCAGAATTAGTGGAAGTCAGAGACTCTCTCTCTCTTTCTCTCTCTCTCTCTCTCTCTCTTTCTCTCTCATCGCGCTGATGCGAATCTGCGAAATGAATTAATAGGAAATGGCACACCCGCAGGCAGATGGCCGATGCAGACAGGCGATGCGCTTGTATGCTTGATAAATATCTCGGTGCACCGATTACGGCGCGTGACAAAGCCGCAAAATAATGTAAAAATTTTGCAAACAATGCAATAAAAAGATCCGTTAATAGCTGCAAAATATTTTTTTAGATGACAAAGTTCTTATTTTCTATATTTCGATTTCTGATCATAAAACTTTGATATCACGACTTTTTATTTCTAACAGGCTGTCGCGACGTTTAGCCGAACGATGTGACAGAATGCAGGCGAATTGAAACGGCAAGTCGTCGTCTATATTTACGTTGTGACAGCCCTAATTTTGCGTTATCTTTTTTTCATTCTTCGACGAAGACGAGTATTTTAAATCTGCACAATTACTGCACCCACTTTTCACTTTGCACGAAAATAAATACGAGAGATGTCAATCCTGAAAAGTGGCGTAAGTGTATAAGAGAACATCATTTACATAACCCTTATATATTTTGATATTAAAGATAAATTTTGCAATAAGATTAAATTAGAACAAATAACATAGCATATTTAGAAATAAAATTTTTTCAAGAAATATACATTCTCTACATAAAAATAAAACGGGATAAAAGTTAAATTAGAATTATCTTCATTGTGCTCGTTTTTTCTAAACACCCTATGCATGAAAACACTAAAATAGCTTGAAAGCAAGATCCATTACATCGAAACCTGCGGAATGCTTTTGCTTTCTCGCTAGATCACCGCGTAAAATCATCAAGGTTAATTAAACCATCAAACGGTGGCTAGAGATGCAAGATGCGCAATTCGACCTGAATCGCGATTAAAGTATTATCACGGCCTGTATGTGGCCACGTGGCCCCATTTGTAGCATATACCGGTCCATGCTAGTTTCTTCTAATCTACCACAAGCTTCTTCGATTGCTAGTATCTGCAATAAATCATTTCTCTAAGCATTGCTCTGGCAAATTATTCTCACACTGTTTTATAACACTATCACAAATAATTCTATTTATTAATTCTGATATTTTATTAAATTTCTAAAATGTGAGAAAATTGTTTATTATTTCTAAAATCAATAATAAAAACAGAAAATTATAAATTGATAAAGAGCACTCTATATATGTATTGCATTCTTCTATTTAATTAATAATAACTTAAAAATGAATAATTTATTTATAAGTTATAAAAATAATTAATTTACGATAATTAAAACAAATAAGTAAAAATCGTAAAGAGAATCGACTTATATTCATTCGGTTTTCTTTAGCAATAGAGTTTTTGCTCAGCATGTAAAAATAATTGCAACATCATAATTCGACAGTTTACACGTCGGGGATCATTCTGAAAGAGTGACGGGACTCGATCGAGTCTGGCCATTCATTTTCAACCAGGTCTAATCGGCGCAAACTGCACATCAAGCCGCGCCCAAACTGACACTCCTCTCTCCAATTGGATTAACTCGGGATGAATGTCAACTGGCTTGCCGTTTGTATACGCGCGATCGCGCGATGTTAATTGTATGAATATCGCATGAGCAAATTTATAAATCGGCGGCGAACAATGAATGTACAGTGGCGTAAAACGTTAAATGCTCAAGCCGCGAAATAGATCGCGAGAGAGAAAGATTTCGAAACTCTATCAAAAATGATATAAATAAACGAATTACAAATGTTCCTCTGATTTATAATCTAGTTGAAGAACTAATGGTTTCGACTCTTATGATTGTGTAAGATACAGGATCAAAATAATTTCTCAAGAATCATATGTCTTTTTTTAGCGAAACTTTCTCAAAAATAAGGAACAGATTTGCAGTAGTTTATTGTCGAGTTTTAACTTTTACGAGAATTACAATAAAATATTATTAGATCCAATTAAATCTGATTTTTATGTCAAATAGAATTTATATACGCAACCATTAGAAAATTAAACTTAGATTGGGCATCATAAATATATCACTGATAAGTGTTTCTTTGTAAAACACAAAACTGTGCGTTTAAGTAAAACAACTTTATGTTAGTTAATAACGAAATTTATTGGAATCGCATCGTAAATAATAATGAACGAGCCATAATTCTGTCGAGCCTGTGAAACGTGTAGCTTCCTCCTCTGGCCGCATCAGGTGTTTACACTGCGATAAAATAACGCGCGCGCGTATGTACACTCCGCGTACCGTAGAGGAACGTACGAATACGCGATTAAGAGGGAATCTTCGGGTGACTGAATGGTCTCCTCGGTTCCCTCTGAGATTACATCGCGCATGTATATCGTTCCTCTCGTTTAATTAACCGACTCGTTTTACACATTTAACTCATTAATTTAATTATCTCATCAATTTCGGTAACAAAAAAAGACGCGCGCGCGACTTGTATATTTCGTCACTTATCAAGGTATAAAAATAATGTCACTATAGAGTTTTCGTGCGCAACATGTTTCTGTTTATATCTATCCATATTTATACTGACGAACAATGCAGCGTGTAGAAACGCGATCTAGGAAAACGAATGCACTTTCTAAACACCGGCTTAGCTGGATTATGCGTAATGTCACCGCCAAGAGAGAGGTTGAATAAACCCGAGACAGCGCCGCGCGCGGCGCATCTTCCTTTTTACGATAATCAAGATCGACGGCGTTGAGCCGATCGCCTCACGATGATATCCAACGTCGAATCTCTGCTTAGCGCTTATTTTCAGTGTGTTATTTTTGTAGCCACTCAAGCCGTTAAATCCCCATCGCCCTAAATGTGGCGCATAATGACGAACCCGCTGCGTTTTATACATCGCGACGCTTTTTTTATAGATCCGCTATTGGGTCAAACATTAAAATTCTTTCGGAAATGATTTCTGAATTTCTGACTTATAATTATCATATGGACAAATTATTGATTAATTAATAAGAAAATCATTATAATGTTATTAATGATCTCGGTATTCAGAATAAAACGCGATAAAAATGCTTCGTAAAATTTTTAGTAAAAAGATGTATTTGCATGGATTTCATCAAATCCTAACATCGTTACTTCGAACGTGGCACGAATATTTTAATGTCTTCAACATAGCAGGTTTATTGCGTTCGTTCCTTTCAAGTCAGGATAGAAAATACGCCCAGTTATTTTCGCGATGTACTGTCACAAGAGTCGTGAAGATTTCTATGAGATACTTTGAATAATAGAGCTTGCACATTATCTTTCATGTACAGAATTAACAAAATTTACAAACTACGAACACTTAAACGTCGAGCATATAAAATGTTTCAACGCGAAGAACACAGACGACGACAAGCGACAAAGAGATTGGCCGATGACATGCGACATCTTCTCGGTAGCCAGACGAAAAAATTCAGTTCCGTTCTCGATCCGACGAGATATCTCACAAGTTATTAAATGAAACAGATATACAGAAAATAAAGACATCGTCGCGATTTTGTGCGGCATGCGCGCCGAGGACATGTGCTGGAACGGTCGGCGCAAACTTCTGGCGCCACAATAATGAAGACGAATAGTCGCCACATAAACATGTCAAATATGTTCAAGTGAGTGAAAGCTGCTATCTTGCTGGTAGTAGAAAAATAAAACAATAGTCATCCGCAGAATTTTTTAACGATTCAGCGGACATCGTTTATCAGATCTTAATGTCTCTCCACAAATGTGTTCATATTCACATCCTATTGCATCTTAATTTTCTCATCTCGCGCTCACAATATAGGATATACAGATATAGAATAGCAATTAAAATTTGCATTAAAAATTTTATAAAGAAAGTAAAGAACACAGAAATTTGCTCTGTTAATCTTCAACTTTCATCTTCAAATTTTTCATATAAAAAAAGTTTTTTATCACTATATATGTATTAAAAGAGCTAACAGTTTCTTGCGGAAGGAATAAAGATTACCAAACATTAATATTAAGAGAATAAAAGAAATATATATAGAAATTATAAAATCTATAATTGCTTGACAACTTCTTAACGTTTGAGATTCGCGATCGGAGTTCGAATCATATGGCAGGAAGTTGTACACATTCTCTGCTCCGATTATATTATTCTGCCATTCTAAAAATACACACCGCCGACAACACTTAACCGCAAGAATGCGTTAAGCGAGACTTCCTACTCAACACATTTGAAACATACTAGCTATTCAAACATAACTTACACGACGGATGCCGAAACCCGACTATGCGAATATTATATTACCTGAAAGTTCGATTAATTTCGTCGTCTTTGCGTGCTGCCGCTCGTTCTCGCGAGAGTAACGATCCTCGCATGTCCTTAAATTACCCGTAATTAGGCGCCAGTAGCGTTTGAATTATGCTAATAAAACAGCGTTTCACGCGCGAGCCGGTTGGTCCAGTCGAGGTAATATTATGATGATGTTAGTATACAAGGTTGATCATTTGTTCTAATTAGCATCCTGCAATACGTTCGCAATTTTTTATAAAAAGCAAAGTAATACTTTAGATTTTTTCCTCACAAAATTGCTCTCGTCACGTTGTGTTTTTCATTGGCACGAATGTGATTAATTAATGTGTAGCATAAGCACTATCACGCCATGTGATCTGAATTTAACAACCGGAAATTTGCATAGGCATAGATGGACAATACACGAACAATGAGAAACATACTTTTTCATGCTCTATGTACAAATTTGATTAAGAAACTTGCTATCATTTTTTATAAAAAATATAAAGTTTAGAATTAATTACAGAGTTAAAAAATATTTCCATTATCAAAATAGGCTAAAAGATAATTTTATTTTTTAGTTCATAAAGTTATTATTAAAATTTTAATTATTCTAAAAATTTTCTCTCTCTCATATATATAATTTTTTCACATATAATTTTTTATTATGTTTAATATTTTATTTTATTTGTCTTATATAGGATTTCACTTTACAAGTTTCTCGGAAATTTATTCTAGCTACCATATCCAATGACGTTAACTACGCATCGGTGCATTAACCATCGTCGAAAATATATGCGCGCATTTTCGGAGAATTTCCGCCATGTATGTAGATAAAGCTACGTTCTCTCTCTTATGAAAGACTCTTATCAGCATGGAACGAAGAATCTGTCGCCGTGTAACACTTTTTTTTATTACCTCGTGGAAGCCGAGCTATCGTCGACGAGAGTCTCTCATCGTCGATTGAAAAAAGGTCACGAGCCAAAAAAAGATAATAGAGATACCAAAACAATCCAATTCAATATATCTTCAAGATTAATGAATATACAAATTTTAAAAAATTTCTGATTTTATTATATTATTTTTTTAATGAAATATAGAAACCAAGGATTGTTTTAAAATTAATTAAAATATATTTAATAACAAAAATTATAATTTGTTAAAATCTCGATCGTATAATGAAGAGGAAACTTTTTCCTTTTTTACTATCCATCTTTATTTCTAGTCTCGTGTCAATCTTATCTAATGGAATTACGCTATTTCACACCAATGGTGTGAAAACTTTCATTCTTTATTTTCTGACTGAGGGAAAATTACGTGATCGATCTCAATGGTTGTGACCGGCAGCGCAATGTTCATGACATATGCCGGAACATATATACGAACAATTTCGCTCACGTTTGACATACGAGTTTGACATTGGGGTTGCGGCCGGCTGGCCGTGTTAATGGCGCGATAAATCACACGTCAATATGTTAGTCGCGCGCTGCGCTTATGCCTTACCGTTAAAGATAGCAGCAAAAAGGTAAAGATGAGTAGATGCATCTTGAGGGATTTTCGCTCACTCTCTTTCTCTTTCTGTCGGTCTCACTGTTGACGCATCTCCGCTGCGGTTTCCGGTCGATCGCGCTCTCCGTCTTCCACTGCGTTTCTCTGATTTCTAAGCCATTTTTCACTTGCGCGTTGAGATGTCAATTGATTTCTCTGTCGATTAAGTCTTTCTTCTATCAGCGATAGAGATTTGTAAATCGTCAAAGAATTTTTCTTTTATTCACACTTTTCCGTGCAACTTCCTGTTTAAATATTCAATTTATTTATATTAAATCCCTCTCTCAAATTTTTTTTCTAATATTATATATAATAGATATTTAAAACACATTATAATTATTAGTATTAGTACTATATATATATTTTTGGTAATATACATTTAATAATTTAGAAAATTAAAAACTTTTTGTTTATTTTTCTTTTATTCAAATTAATTGCACCGTGATATAATTAATTTCTATCAATAATGTTTATTTAAACATGCTGTAATCAAAGGCTAAAAATTAAAATAATCTCTTGTCTCTCCAAACTAAGAATCTTTTTTAAGTTAACTCTAGAGATATTCTTTCGTAATATTTTCTTTTAATACATATCTTTTCGCGCGATTACCATGCAAACTCTGCGGAATTATTCAATCTTCAAACGTCATCTCCGTGATATTTTGCGAATGGTAATGATAAAAATATTATCGTTGTATCATTTTAAAGATGAAAACCAGCGATTTACTGACATAAATGCGCGGAATGCACTTACATCATCGTCTTCATAAAGTTCCGACGAGGTCCGCAATTTTACGAAACCTTTACTGAACCTTTATAAATTCAATTTTGCATAATATGTGTTAGCGCTCAATAAGATGTGTCTTAAGTGACCGGTTTATTACTTTGCATAGACCTCTCGAACTCACTCACAATTGTTTTCTAACTCGTGTCTCTATTTTTATGTCACTTTTTTTATAAAAATTAAATTAAAAGAATTATTTTAAATAAAATATTATTAAAACAAACTACATTATATATTGTCAAATATGATTTATTGTTAGATAAAGTAGAAATAAAATTTATGCAATTAGTTACAAGTATCAAGCTTTTTGTTTTCTCTAAATTCCAAACGAGAATATTTAGTATCCGATTAACATTTGATTTTTTTTTAATCAGTGAGTCAACTGTTGCATTATTTCTAAAAAAATTTTGGCCTGTTTCTTAAATTATCTCTGCAGCTTGCATTAATCGAATTGTAGGCTAAAATAAATATACATATATATGTATATAAAAAGTTATCATAATATGTAATAAAATTTCAAATATTATGAATACACTCGCATATATAAATTTCTGCATAAATAATTTTTGCATTTGAAATAATATTGATATATAAAATGTGTATGTAATAATTGCTATTCAATTAATTATACTATTGCAATTGCATTTTTTTAACAAAATTATTTTTTAAATTTTGTACCTGAGAAAGTAATTATCGTTGTAGTTTGCGTTGTGTGTGTGTACCCAACTAGAAATATATTTATTTCTAAGCAATGCTAAAGTGATAGAGATTAATAACATTTGATTATGATGATTAATGTAGTCAAATCTTACATACTATTGATTTAATTAATAGCTTGCGACTTAATTATCGTTATGACTTGTTTGCACTTAAACGATTGATTTGACATTCAAATCAAATGTTACGGCTTGACGCTAGAGAGACTATCCAAGGCGAAGGAAATTGGATATTAGAGAAGTCATCGGCTGGCGTGCATGTGAGTGCATATGCACGTATAATACCTTCATGCTCCAGTTGCTAGTGAGCGTTAGACAAGAACTTATATTACCCGTACGTCGACCTATCGAAGGTGGAGTAGCCTGAAGCTAGAATTAATCCGTAGATTGCACGAATCGGAAATTTCTCTATTCATCGCATTTTATAATATAATGCAATTCGATATTTCAAAATTTAGTTAAAATATCTCGTGAAATTTTCTTCGAACAAAACTTTTCTCTTACATCTCGGCTCAAAATTAATTTATGTAATATTTTTTGATCAAAGTCAATCAATGGAAATCAATTAATGGATTATAAGAACCTCAGATATGCATCGTAATTAATCTTGATCGTTTACCAAATGGGGAGAACTTGTCTCCGTACGAGTCTAATGCCCGCGTAGTGAGATAAATCACCGACAAAACCGAGTCGCGTCGCTAATTATGCGACTGCGCTTGCATAATCGGCCGTGATAAATTCGCGGCAGTCGAGTGGTGCCGGTCGAGGAATTTTTGTAGAAGCGGAACACGCGAGTGAGAGCATTCACGTGCTCCGGCTGTCGCGTATATTCTGAAATGCGATAGTTCCCCGATAGTGATAATCTCAATGCACCGCATCATGTGCACAATGCTGTCGCGTAAGTGCGTCGCGTTTTGTTCGGTGACAAACGCGTGTATCCACATAATATCGAAAAAAGATTGTCGATCTGACACTCTGATATGGGATAGCAACACGCATTATTTACGCGCACAAATGCGTGATAAATGTAAATTAACATGCGCAATATACGATCGTTGAATTGCATACGAATTGCTTATTAAGCTTACAATTATTACCGGCCCGAGAGTGCATGTCAAATGCAAGTTGCCAACAAATCATAGACCGGCCGCACGGATAACGAATAAGTCGCGCACGTGCATAATTGTACGGAATAAATTTATTAACTTTTTGTGAATACTCTATACCTCGTGTTGGAAATAATTATTGTTTTAAATAAAAAATTTTACGCGACCACGTTAATATCTCGTACGATTTGTAGCAGTTGATTTTACCAGAGTCACTATTTAATTGATATTTCTCAGTATTGCATTATAATTTATTCAACATAACGTGTAAATTAAATTGCAATAGCTCACTTGTCGACAAGCTAATATTAACGTTTTCTATGACACCAATTCATTTTTTCTGCCGGAAGTTACGTTAAAATTTAATTATTAAGAGTAAAATCTTTCTCATGAGCAACCGTGTTAATTTTTATAATTTTATGCAATGTGGTAATAATTATTGTTTTTAAATTACTATGTGATAAGCTGTGAACAGATCTCTTATATGTACGCTGAAAATATCATATGCATATAAAAGCTCTCATTGGGAAATTATTTGCATGCGTTTTCGTGTGTACATTTTCTATATAAAACGTTGTTTATTAGACGTGTAATTTTATTGCAGCAAAAACACGTCGCATCGTGGCAGGATGGAGCATTTAAGGAGAATCTTCTTACGCAAGTCGCGGTGTACCGTTTATTTTTACGATTATCGAACCGTCAGCATTACCGCACTATTAATACGCGTTTGCAAAAGGCGACTCTGTGAATAAGACTCTGAACATGGAATAATTTTCGAACGAATGGAACGAAAGCGATACGTCACTAATCACAGCTTTACACATTTTTGACTACGGCTTCGTTAACTGCTACATTGGTAATTATGTAAACTACGATAATTATAATGAGAGTAAAATTGAACGGTATTATTCAAGCTCTAATTATCGAAATAAATACTAATTTGTTTAACCACTCATATAACATTTATAATATATTCATATAACATATTATTACAATATTTATGTATATAATTTATTAATAAAATTAGCTATGTTTTTAATCTGATTTAGGAGTAAAATTATATTTATTATTATTGTGTTAAAAATTACACGGTTTAAAATATATTTTACAGAGTTATAACTAAAATAAGTAATGGCATATTTTTCATAATTGTTAATTCTAAAATAATTATTTTTTGTTAATTTTAATTAAAGCGTTAAAAAATTGTTTACGTTTGCATTTAATGGAAAAACAATATTTACATCAAGTTGTGATCGATGCAACCACTTGACTAACCTGTTGCATTGAGTTTAAATTGTACGTACAACTGTTGACAGAGAACGAGCACACTAAAACCGGACACGGTAGCCAAAATCAACTCTCACATCAATCACAAAATACGTCTCCCGTTTGCGAATTTGCAGAGCAAATTGTTATCACATTTTAGTGATATGAGATTCATTACAATTAAACGCACTTTAATTACACGATTATCTTGAACGAATAATGTTTGTATGTAAGTGTATTTGGTTTATAAGCTAATATATCGCCGATTAATTCACCAGCAGTTCCGATTGATGCAAAACAATGTTTATCAATATCGCAATTACAAATGTGCAGGGATATGTTTACGGAATAGCTGCACGGGGGACTTTTTTATTGCCCGATACTTTTTTTTTTGGTATTATCTCGCGCGTAAAACTAGACAAAGTGCAGCAAGAGGTGCATGTTGCAGCTTGGGGGAGACCGAGAGCCGAGTTCCTCTGTCAGAGGTGTCGTTTCGTACTGACGGCTCCCGTCGGTGCAGGACTGACTTTATACGCCCGCGTGGAGTCTCGGAATCGAGCTTTGGGTGCCTCCGCCATGGCGCCGTCACCTGGCAACGAAGTATAAAGACGTTATTTTAATAGCGATGCACGTCCGCTTCTCTCTTCGTTTCATAATGTAAAATTTAAATAACACAAGGAAAATGCATTCAGGAAATATATTGATTAGATCTATCACACAATCCTTTGAAGAACACATTCAATGATATTATAAAAACTAAAAGTATATCCTTACGTATATTTTTATCTCCAAAATATGGTGTACGTCAAATAAAAAAATACCTTTAACCACGTTTTTATAAAATTTCCGATGATAAAATATTAAATATTTTGATAAGGCTCAAATTAATTTATTGATAAAATCATTTCATTAATTTTATTATTTAAAACATAAACGTAAACTTTTTGAGGCATATCCGCTACAATTGAACTTTGATAACAGATTAAACTTGTGGTCCAAAGGTAAACCAGAGATATATGGTTTATGGCGTTTGTGGTATTATAATTAGTTTGTAATATTATTATTGTGGTGTTTGTGGTATTACATATAATTAGCAAAGCTGCAGAATATAGATTTTTTTTTTTTGGAATATTGTTTCTCCTCATTTACGATGATGAGATTTTAAACGAATATGACAACTCCAATATAAATTTGATCGATATATATATATATATATATATATATATTGCTTTTTAATTTTTTGACGATTTTAAAACTAATCTTTTTTTTTTTTTTTTTAAGTGAACAC